GCGGGGGTGGTTTGGAGGGGCCGGGGGTCGGGGATCCCCACGGCGGGGGTGAGGGGGTGAAACCCCCACCCCGGCTTGGGCCTCGGGGATCCCCGCTTGACAACACTGTGTACAACTAACAACGTAGTCTCAAGAATGCACAAACAAAAACAAAGATACCGTCAAACCTTAGCCCTAATGTACATACTTTGCTCATCCTTATGCTACCCTAACAGTAGTTAACACATAGGTAAACCAGTCCCTACTCACTCATCTCCTCCTGGTTTTGGCTATATAACTAAGCTTTGCCCCCCTCGGCAGATCGGTCTGCTATTATACCCTCTCTATCATACATCTTACCACCACTCTCAGTCACCTTCCTTGTTGCCTTGTCCTTCAAAAACTTAGGACACTGCGAGGCCCTATGCTCACCATTCTTGCAAAAAAAACAGGTCGGGTCGTACGACTTTCTTAGCCTCTTCTTCTTTCTTTGGGACCCTGGCGATGAAGGTGCCTCACCGGTCTCTCTGCCCATCTCATAGCTCTAGGGCACACCCATAGGCTCCTCATGTCTCGCCTCTAACTCCTGAGTACATAACTCTCTTCATATTCCAACCCCCTCTGGCCTATACTCAGGTGTATCCAACCTCTGTGGCCTGCCCTCGATGACGCCCTCCATCGCAATCAGGCTCCTCCACCCTTTGCTCAGGCGAAAACAGACTTGCCTCTTCCTGCATAGTATCAACCGCCTCACGAAGCACATCCATAAACCCCTCCCCTGAACCCTGAATCGACTCGCTGCTAGCTGTTTGCTTCCCCCCCTCGATTGATAATGGCATAGCCACTGTCATGGGCTCCACAACTGTTGTTGGCAACGTGGCGAGTTCAGTAGGCACCCTGAACTCAAAGGCCTCTTTCTCTGCCTCCCTCTTTGCCTTTGCCTCCTCAGACTCCAGGATGACGTTTCCCGTGGGCGGCTCCTGCGGGAGTCCAACTGCAGGTGGCTGCATGGATAAGCCCAGTACTGACTCTTTCTGAGTGCCATGTCGACTACTCACTGCCCTGTCCACTACTTCGGCAGACTCCTCTCTCTCTGTCCTGTCAGCCTCGTCTCGAGGTTGCCGCCTCAAATCCTGGATGATGGCAGCTTGACTAGCCACCAATGCTCTGAGCTGGCGGACCTCCGCCTCAACCGCATCTAGACGCACTTCATGGCTCGCTTCCTTTATCTTCTTTTCGGCCAGATCATCTTCCAACATCAGGTACCTATTGAAAGATGTCTTGGCCAGGAAGCGGATCTTACGATCCAGGTACTCATCCGCCATCCTCGATGTCCCGAGTCCTGCCCTCTCTGGAGCGCCAACCCCTTGCCATGCTGGCCAAAGAACTCTTCGCACATTCCCTTGACTCCACATGGTTTAGGCGTTGTGCCTGGTGGCCGATCTGGGAGTGCTCCAGCCACCTTTAACCTCTGCCTTTCCTGCCAAATTTCCACCACGCGCTTTCCAACTCTGGCCCGTTTCTCCTCGGCTATCTCCCCTGCCGGTACTCTCCCTCTTATGTGATGGTCTACTCTCCCCGGAATCTTGGCCCCCGCCTCTCTCTCTAGCTGGCGCGGCTCTCGTGGTGGCTCCATAGGCACGGGATCCTAGATGTCAGGGTGCTCTTGGACATGCACTGCCAGATACCTATCAATCATGGAGATGGCCTCTCACCTCCAGCCAGTCCTTTCTTGCTCCATCTCCATCCTCACCCCTGGCGGCAGAATTGCCTTTGGCGGAGGGGATAGAATCTCCTCCAGTCGAGGCTCCTCCTCCTCCTCGCGGGCGATCTTTGGTAAGATCTCTGGTCCCAACTTTGCAGCATGCAACTGAGGAGGAGTGTCCTCCTCAACCTCTATCACCTCCTCCATAACACGCCCTCTCTCGGCACTCTGCCTCGTCTCTCGCTCAGGCTCATGGACTTCCTCTCGTGGTACCTCCTCTGCTGGCTCACCACGCCCTTCACTAGTCAGCGGCTCTCTCCACTGTGAAATATCTAGGTGCGCCTCCAGTTCCTGCAATGATCCTCCGGATGGCGCCACCTCCTCTCTCGCGTGCTGGGGAGACCCGCTCAACTTCGCTCCAGTAAAGCGCTGGAAAAACACTGGGCTTCTCCCACACTCGGGATATGCCCCTTGCTCCTTCTCCATAGGTATTGACTCCTCCTCTCGCCTAGCGAGCGCCTTCCGTCCTCCTCGCGATGACATGGCCTCTCTGGGCTCCGGGTCCCTCTGCCTCTTGCTTCTCTGCCGTCTCACGACCCTAGGCTGAGGTGGCTCTGGCCGTCGAAAGGCCTCCCTCAAATGCGCCTTGCAACTCTCCCAGTCTCGAACCATGTCTCTGATCTGTCTGGCTAACGACCTTTCTGCCTTCCTAGTCCATAGTGGCAACGTCCGCGCTCACTCATCCCTCAATATGCGTTGATCGTGCGTGAACTGCTCGAAGGCGGGGATGAAGTCCTCCACATTCCCAATCTCCAGATGGATCGGTCTGCCATCAGGCCCCACAGGTGACGGTCGTAGCTCCTGCATCTTCATCTCCACCTCTGGCCAGGTCATCGCCTCCCTACGGATCCGTGTGATGGGCTCCTCAAACCTACCAGCTCCTCTCAGCCTCTCAATCATTTGCGTCACTGTCCATCTCATATGTTCCGCATATCCTCGGAAGTCGTCCACAAAGAGCTCTATATCCCCGTCATCGTATACGGGAGTGTGCTCCCAATGGCGAGACATATGCCGCTCATGACCTTCCGATACTCCGAATGGCCTCCGTGGCGGCCTCGTCCCGCTCCCTCCTCTTGGCATGGCTGTCTTTGCAAAGTCAGACCTGCACAACCGACGAAGGAGACGACAGACACATATCGGGGTAAGCAAACAGGTGGGAATAAAGCAGGCTCAGGTCAGACCAAGCACACCCATCAAGCAGACCTATCCAACCTATACATCCTATCATTTTTTCCCTTTCTACGCCTTATCTATGACTCTTTTCTACATACTTAGGATCCTACTTTAAAGGAGTTGGATCGTTTATCTTACCTCTTATCTTGCCACAAATTTCTTTAGTCTCGTTCCAGATACCCAATCCTTCCATTCTGTCTCATCTAGCTCCTCAATCTGGTAGGCTCCGAAATCTCCACATCGTACAATCTGATAGGGGCGTAGCCACCTTTTGTCCAACTTTTTGGACCACTACTTCTCCACGGATGAGTCATATAGGAGTATCAGGTCTCCAACTGCCAAAGGTACCTTTCGTATTCGCGCCAACTAGTCCCAACGAGCCTTATCATCCATGCGGTTCTTCTCCACTTGGTTGGACGCCTCCTGAACCCTTTCCTGAATCGCACCCACCTGTCGCGCTCGAATGTCGAGCAGTTCCTCGAAGAACAGGTTGGTTTCTAAATCCTGACGTTTCTAAGTCTTCAGGAAGCTCTCAATTGGGAAAGTGGCGTGTCTCCCGTACCATAGCGTGGCTGGCGCGTACTTAGTGGTCCTCTTTACCGTAATATTCTCGACAAAAAACGTCGCCCTTCGGTATCTTGGCTACTGGTTAGGTCTACCTTCGGTCCACTTAGCCAGGAGGTTCGTCATGGTTCTATGCCCTCTTTCAACTGGAGCATTTGCCTGGGGGGGAGCGGTCATGGTGTAATTGCCTACCACACCGTATCTTGACAACAATTATTGCACTTCCTGGCAGGTGAACTCTGACCCTCTATCCATCACAAACTCTCTGGCAAAGGGATAACGCAGGTAGTACTCCTCGATGCAGCTTACCAAGACCGAATCAGTTTTTGTACGAATGGCTCGTCCGTCTACAAAGCCAGAAAGATTGTCACGCGCATCGAAGATATAATTGTAGCTATGATCCCCAATCGACATAAAAAGTAGGTCGAGATGTACTACGACCCCCACTTCCCTTTCTAACCTTGGCCTCAGAGGAGATCGTTTTTGACAAGGTACGCAGGAACGACAAAATTTGCTGACCAACTCCATCATTTCATCCCAATAGTATAGCTCGCTTATCTTAGCATACGTGACACTAACTCCCCGGTGTCCTCCTGCAATGCCATCATGAAGCGCAGTTATAATATCAATATGACGGTTCCTGCCACACACAGCTCTCCTTAGGTTTACCAGTTGCCTTTTTACAAAAGATGACTATCTCTTACCAAATAGAGATGCCTTATCTTCTGAGCCCTTTCACTTGCATGTCTATCCCGCATCTCCCATGATAGGAGAAGCCCCAACTCTAGGTAAATTTCATCATACTCCTCTGCTCGGAATGCCTCTTTGATCTCCCCTTCTTCGAACTCGTCATCTTTGCTTTCTGGCACCACATCTTCATTCTCAGCTGGATTCAGTGAGCTTATTTGATCAAAGTTTCCCTGCAGAAGTGTATTGACGAGGAGGTACATCCCTCCCATCAATTCCTCATGCTTCTCTACCTGGTCTTGCCCTTCCTCTATCGTTATCACCTCCTCCACCAGACTATGCATGCCCGCTAGTGCCAACTTCATCATCCATTGGGCATCTCTGTCGCCCCATGCGTCTTTTTCTTCAAAAGGCTTGAGCACAAGCTCTGCCTTCTGTTCATACCCCCTGGGTGCAATCCAGATGGGATGGCCAACGCAATTCGGCACTCGCAAAGACCATTCATTTATGTGAAGAGGGATGTCTTCCTCTTGATCCAGGAACCCATCAACTGGGGGCGTAGTCTCTACTGCCTTCTCCTTCTGTTGGTCCCAGTCGATGCGGCTTAACCCATCCGCTCTATTCTTGTTTCCAGAGATCCTTTCCAAATCAAAGTTAAACATCCATATGTAAGTCAACCACCTGACTACCGTAGGATCCGATGGAACGTAATTCCTCAATGAGTAAGCGAGCGCGGTTGGGTCTACCCTTAATATGAACCTCCTGCCAAAGATATAATTCCTGAAGATCCTGAGGCAGTGAAGGACAGTGAGAGTCTCCTTCTTAAACTAAGAGTATTTTCTCTCAGTTGTGTTCAAAGTTCGGCTTTCAAACCTCAGTGGTCTCTCTTTTCCTTCGATATCTGTCTGAATCAAGACTCCTCCCAAAGCAGTCGGCCCAACATCCATTTCAACGACGAATGGCCTCACCTCCGTGGCATCATAGTCTGGTGCGCCCAGTACTAACCCTCCTTCTCGAAACTTCTCTTTCATCCTAGCCACAACATTCTCCTGCTCCTCACCCCAAATCCATTCCTGGTCCTGACGAACCAACTTTCTCAAGTGTTCAATCTTGGCGGCAAAGTTCTTGACGAAGGTCCTCTAGAATCCACATGTACCGAGGAAGCTTCTAACATCTGTTATCGAATGGAATGGTATTGGCCACTCGGTAATCTTGTCTGTCTTTTTCACGTCCGGCCGGCGACCTTTCTCACTACGAACGAAACCTAAGATGGTAGCCTCTCTCTTGCAATGTCTGGATTTGGCTCCACTTGTCGTGAGGTTGTGCTCCTCAAGCACGCTCATGACTTTATCAAGATCCTAGACGTGCTTCCAGACAAAGCGCCTTACTCACGGCAATACTTTGTCACTCTCCTTCTCTCTCTGCCCCTTTACCTCCAAGTCGTCGATATACGGCTGAGTGATATGCGGGCTCACTGACTGCATGGTCCGAATCATATGTCGTTGAACCATCGCCACCACATTAGTCCACCCTTGTGGAGCCACATTCATATGGATCAGTCCTATAGGCGTATGCATTGCTGTCACTGGCCTATCTGGCGGGTAGACTGGAAACTGGTCGTACCCCGAGTAGAGGTTTATAAGTGAAATTATAAGTCTTCCAGCACAGGACTCTGGCAGCGCGTCTGCATTTGGCAAACCTCCCGCATCTCGCACAGTCACCGCATTCAACCGTTGCAAATCTTGCACCCACCGCAATGTCCCGTTAGGCTTAACAAAACAAAACCATCGGGACGTGTACGGCCCACTCGAGTAGTCGGCGACATGCGTACATATCTTGTCGTCGAGGTAATCCACTACCTTCTTTTCCACGTCAGGATTGGGATACCGTTCCCCTCTCAAATTTCATGGCTCATGCAGCACGGTATGAATCCAGATCATGGAGATCTTATCTATGTCCAACCGCCCTCGCTGATCGTCATCGAACGCATATGCGCGATGCCTCTTCTTCATCAATTCTATCATCAGCGCCCTTTCCCGGGGTAGCAGAAACTCCGGCTCTCCTACTATCAACTTCTCCTCACTCTCTTTATTGATACGGCACGGCCTGGTCGCTGCTTGCTCCCTCATGCGTCGTATCAAATCCTCGTTCCCGTTTCTAATAAACATCCTCATTTTCCGTGACGAGGACGGGAACTGGGCGGCACTTTTTATCTCTCATCTTGTACCGCCTTTGGGAACCCTGCTTGAGCCGTCCCCTAAAAAAAACCGACTTATTGCTTGTGCCTGCATCATTGCAAGGTCCCTCCTTCCACCCGGAAGCCGATAGACCAATTCCAGTTCCCCAGCCTGGGGACACTCCAGGACTTGCTCCCTCAACGCCCGAATGGCGTCTGGATCCGCCATCTCGTGTGTGGCCAGTGGCCACTATATTCATGGCCTTGTTTACGTCTGATAAACTGAGGGAGAACGCCTCACCCCTTTCTTCCTCCTCTGGCTCCATAAGGAGTCTTCGACGCTCATCCTCAAATTCTTCGATTGTAAACGAGCCCGGATTGGGCCGGTTCATTATGCTTCATGGATGGGTGTTCCGCAAGTGATTATTTCATAATTCCCATATGCCAAATCATAAATAATCAGGATCAGAGTTCCGTCGTGTTTATTAAACATCAACGTTTATGTCCTGCACGGGAACAACCTTCCTAGGAGGATGTAATGGTCCACATCTAGCATGACAAAGAAGCATGCCCTAAATTTCACTCTCCCAACCTCGATAAGTACGTTCGAGGCTGTCCCACAAAATACTGCCTTGCAGTTGGCTCCATGTAACATGCAGCAATCCGAGCGGTCTATCTCTAATCCGAACCTGAGTGCATCAGCTTCCCGGATGATGTTCATCTCTGCTCCCGTGTCCACCATTGCTGCGCACTTGGAGCCTTTCACCACCAAATCCACCATGCCTCAGGCCACACACTTCCAGTCCATCTTCGTACCAGTTTCGCCCCATTCCGCCTCCTTTGGCAGAATCACACTCGGACCACATACTTCTTTTTCCTCGGCGCCGCATCGCACAAAACTCGTTCGGCTTCTCCCTGGGCTCCTCTCTTCTTGGCCCTTTGCTCTGCTCTCTGGTCCTCTTCTTGGCGCAGCCTTTCATCCTGCTCGTCCTCCTCCTCCTCATCTTCCACCTCTACGGCCTCCTTTCTCTTTTCTAACTCTGGCTCTTTTCGCGAAGGTCCCTGGCTTGCACTGACCTTAGCTTGGCCTCTGGTACGAGCCGCCTGTGCCATCCTTCCTTGCGCCGTAGGGGGTTTAACCATCATTCCAGACTGCGAGCCTAGTCCCACGGTAGCTACTCCGGGTCGCTTTGGCATCGATTCTGGGCCAGACTCATGAAGAAAGACTTTGGGAATACCAACCCTCCAACCCTTTACTTCTTCGCAAATGTCTACCAACTTCTGCTGGTACCTCCCCATCTTTCCCCACAGATCCTCCATCTTCCCTAGAAGGATTGATGTTGGGCCCACCTTGTCATTCTCATTTTCTTCCTCTGAATCAACAACTATGGGCTCTTCCTTTATAACTCCTGCGTGTAGCGTCCGAGTCACCTCTTCACCACTTTCCACTTCTTCCACCCTAATTGGTGGGTCATCCTTTTCCTGCCACAACCTGAGCCTGGCAGGTGGAGCCTGCCGCGTAGCTATTCTTTTCCGAGCCTCCGCTCTTACTCCCCCTGGAACCTTCCGGTCAATATATTCTCCGAACTGATCGTATATATCACCATCCATATTGGAATAGATCAGTCCGGCTTTTTCATCTTCCCGCCTAGTATTGCAGAACCGTATAGTATGGCCTTGTTTGTCACAATGTTGGCATATAGCGGTTCTCCAATCAAAACAGGACCTCCCGCTTCCCTGGCTCCCTTGATTTCCCTGGCCCTGGTAGCCTTGGTTATCCCATTGACCCCCTCGGCCACCGCCATTCCTTCCACGTCCTCTTCCGCCGCCTCTTCCTCCATTCCCCTGATTGCCCTGGCCTTGATTACCTCCACCTGCCACACTACCTTGTGAACTCGGCGTGGGCGACAGAGGTGGCGCCATGGGTTGAGCTTGTGCTGCGGGATAGCTTGGTGGTGGCATACTTGCTTGGGGCCCAGCGTATGGTACCATCTGCCCAGATGGAGTCGGGCTTCCCCATGGCACAAAAGTGTTAAGCACAGGTCATGGCCATTACCTAAATGATGGTACCGTCGCTTGTGAGGGTCCCGCGCTACTACCACTGCTAGGGGCGCCTGCCCCTTTCCTGAGCCTTGCCCTTCCTGCGTTAAATTGCGCTATTTGCGTAGCGCCTTCGAGAGGTGTTGGGGCACCGGCTCCTCTTCTTCCCACTTCTCCTGGACGACTTCCTCTATCACTGGATCCTTCCTTTTTCCCTGGATCGCCGTCACCACTTTCTTTTGTTTCACCACGTCCTTCCCATAGCCCAGTTCCGCAAGTACGTCGGTGACAATCCTCTTCACTCCCGGGGTCCCTGAAGTGGTCGCATCCCATTTTTTCCTCTTTCGCCTTTGCTGGCGCATCTGATACTGCTTCACCTGGTTCAGACTTCCTTCCTCTACTCCTTTGTCGATAGTGGCCCAGGTGACCTTCGCACTCCCTCCTCCATGGCTCGTCAACTTTGATGCTTCCGGGGCAGTGAGTAATCCTAGGAAAATAGCACATTGCGCTTCCTCAGAGATCCCAAGGACCTTCCTCGCCTTTTTTTTGAACTCTTGCACGAAGGCCCCCACTGTGGTGAAGTCATCCCTGTTCATGGCTTCCAGGTCCGCCATGTTAACAGACCATCGCCCAACCTATACTTCCTCTGCATTCCATCTTTGAATCTTGCCCAACTGCCATTAGCTGCGTTCACAACCTTCTCCACCTTTTGGTGATGGCCATGGAGCACATACTTCAGAATCCGCTGAAACTTCACAGCGTCAAATAGTCCCACTAGCGCTCGTTCCACCAAATCAAACCAATCAGAGACCCGCTCCCCATTGAAATGGAAAGTATCGACCTTGGGAACATTGCTCTGTGATCTTTCACGCCTGTCGAAGGCTTCGACCAAATCGTCGATCGTTAGGACCTTCCTGGCACCATCAGCTATGCCTCCAAACATCTTGGTCAAACCTCTTTCTTAAGTTTTCCTGTTAAGAAGAGTAAGGAAAAAAACTTTTATTCAGCGTCCTAACTTACCATGACGCCTATCGAATTTCCTAGACAGTCAGTCACTTAGCGATTCAAATCGAGTAGTACTACCTATTTCTTCACTTTGAACTTACCTTAATAGGCCCCATCTTCCCTATAGGGTCTCCTTTATGATTCTCTAACCCAGGCAACCAATCAGATCAAAGATAAAACTTATTACATTAATAATGTTTCTCCATCATAATTAGTCTGACAAGCCGTTACGTACTCTATTTTTCCTTATATGCCTATTTCTCTCTCAATCGTATACCCGGATGTCGTTCCACCAGGGAAAACGGTAGGCTTCCGTTATCCCCGGCAACGGCGCCACCTGTCGAGCGCATCGGTCCAGCACCGCACAAAACGGGGCGGGACCCTCCTGGCCGCGTCACGCAGGAGTCGATCAAATCCTCGTCGCAAATGCATATGGAGCTTCTATAAGCCGCTCCGGCCAAGTGCGCCAGCCGTACCTCTCGCGAGCCCCTACGACAGGATAGGGCCTACGTGAGGCACAATTTACCTCCACCTTGCGGGAGTTGTCACCTCCCTTCGGTGGGCGTATCCCCGCCGAGCTACCAGTCCACAGTACGAAAGTTAATCAGGTGCAATCGCAGAGGTGGACCAGCCGAGGGCGTTTCTCGTACACTGTAGCGTAAGGGGTACGCACAGTAATATGCCTCTATCGGACCCGCACGCGAACTGGCATCTTGGGGGGCTGAGGTCCCAAGCGCGACTCATCGCCGGTCGACTATGACGCATCCCACACACCACGCGTACTCCACTCTAAAGAACATAAAAATAAAAACACACACACATACACATACATATACAGAACGACACAGAACAAACAACACGACAACACTCCTAGTCCCTTAGTAGTCATCCCATAACTCTCCAATGCGGAAGTCGGACAGGCGTCGCGCGCGAGACTTAGTATAAAACTGCGCGGGCACAGGGTCTTCCCATATCGACTAGCAATGCATGAATACGCAAGCAGTCGTGATGGTGGCATACTATGTAGTGCCCATAAGCAAGCGGTCCTTTGTAGATCCGAGTACCGCTTATGACACTGAAGTGTCAAACTCGAAGTATCGTGAGGGTCTACCCCTTCACGATATTGCACGACTGAAGGAATAGTCGTGCAGCCTCCGCGGCACCTCCGGCCTTTAGGCTGAGTGCCCCGGCAGGCAGGGCAAATAAGTTCTGCACGGGGGGAGATCCCTTCCATGCAGAGTCCAGGACCTGGGATGTCATGGACAAGGACCTCGAATCCGGGCCCAGGACCAACGTCCGACTAAGAAATCTTTAAGAAACACTCAACAATAAAACAGGGTTTTCTTTCTTATCTCAATCTCAACCCCAATTAAACCTTTCAGCGCAGGCCCCTCAGGCCACGCGAACACCCAATATAGGTACATACATACATATACGTAAAGGGGAATAAAATATACATTTCGTAAAAAATAAACTTTTTGTCAAAAAGTGAACTATTTCGACTGCGAATAAACACTCAGTACATGGCCCAATAGGGCATCATGTGACACTTTAAGAGAGGATAAATGGTCAGTATATGAGGTGTTGACATGGCAAATGTTGCGGCGGGGCGTTTTGAGCTCTTCGTACATGAATAGTCGTTATTAAATGCGAATTAACACAGTGTAAAATAGGACACGGGCTCTTTGTATGACACCTTCACAATGTTGTCCTGGCTTGGTGTTGCAGTGACAGACAGTACGCGATTCAAAAGGGCATCCTGTTGGGTATGTGGTGCCTGTTTTCCATAAAAGGTCAGGGGTCCGGCGCCCGACACCTTGCAAGTTGATGGACTGAACCCGTCAACTGTGGTCGGGCGGAACACCCAACCTGGTGCACGACATTTGGCAAGTTGAACCCGAAACCCGTCAGTACCCCAGCAACAAATGATCCACCATTTATCTTCCCGGAAGGACCTCATTCTCCGGTTGACAGAAAGTAGTTGAACACCGAATGATTCGGGAGTTAGTGGTGTTCAACAGAGCACCTTAAGGAAGTGGCAAACAGTCGTTCGTTGTCGATGCCGATTGCCAATAGCACTGTTAGGAGGCATTGATGCTGGTTCCTTATCTGTTTGGCGATCGAGCAGCTTGAAGAAGTGTGAAACAGTCATTGGTTGTCAGAGAGAGAGAAAGAGCTCCTTGCTTCAACTTGACAAATACTAGTTGAACAGCGAATCAATTCATAGATATCGGTTTGGTGGCTGAGCACCTTCAACAAGTGTCAAACAATCGTTGGCTGTCTGTGAGGATGGCCACGCACTCTAAGGGAACCTTGATGCTGGGTGTGGATTTGCTTGCCGCAGGTTAGCAGTTGCTGGGCAGTCTTGGATGTTGAAGTCCGCCACCGGGGCAAGGTTTGATGGTCTGTGGTGGGACTTCCTGTTGGATTTGGATCTGTTTCGAGCAGAGTCGCACTCAAGAAACAGAATTGAACTCCAGATCCCGCAGGTTATCAGTTCTTGGACATTTGCATGGACAACTAGCGGATTGCTCGGGGTACACACCACAAGTCGGAGTGAACTCTCATGTAGATGGACAACATGAACGCACACCATCAGCGCGGTGATATAATACGGACGATGGCTTGTCATTTGCATGGGCAAATCAATAACATAGATTCCTAACATTCACTCTTGTCGTCGCAAACATCGATCCCCTCCTTGACATGAGCATGTTTAGGACTGTAAGACATCCATGCATCCCATGGCATGAACATCAGAGATCGAAATACTTGCAAGTTCATCGGCGTGTCATTTCTTTGCATGGACAAGATATATAACATCCATTTAGAACATTTACTCTTGTCACCGCAACGTCGAGATGGAAACACTCGTAACTTGCGTCGTTTTTTCCTAACATTGCACCTCCGTAGATGGAAACACCGCACGCAGAGTTGCGAGAAATGTTCAATGAAAAAAACCATTGAACCGCACATTGCAAAGTAGACAGGGGTTGTTTCCGAAAAAACATCAAAAGCAAAAAATCAGTCAATCACACATTGTCTCTCGCACCTATTGCAACTATTGCCTCTCGCACCTCTATCTACTACTTTATATCCACAATTTCAAGGTGCACATGCACATGCATATCATGTTCCACAAGATTGTATTTTAACACGTTTTCCCTTAAACACAAGGTCCGACCACCCGTCCGTATCTTGTGACATACGGGGTTTCTCGCGGACGAGGTCGTGAACGGAAGCCATACATAACATTCATAGATGATCCATACACATGCATCTGCGGCTCGTCGACTGTTGCATTCTTCGAAAACACGGACATGTATTTCATCCTAACAAACCCTCCCGATCGTGCTAAGGAATTCTCTATACAGTCTCGTATGTCGGACACTTTCTCTTCCACCTCATGCCACAATGATAAACATCTGACCTGACCTGCTCTCACGAAATCTGACCGCCCATCTACATCGGGGCAAAACATCACCGGCTTGAACTTGGATCCCTGAAGTACCATCTCGTTCCGTGACACGAGCACAACTGCATCCACGAGTTTTCTTCTTTTGTGTGAAGAAGCCACACATAGCACTCTGACGAAAGGACATCCGTCATCAGTCAACAATATGATATAGCTTGTGGAGAAGTCCCTGGGCAAAGGGGTAGATAGTGTTCCAAGAATGAACAATGACGAGCGCAGTCCACCAACTCTTGCTTGTGCGAACTTCCCCAAGTTCGTGGCGAAGATGTGATGTACTCGCAGTCGAGGCGACTTCTGAAGCTGGTACGGTAGCGGATCAATTTACCCTTATCGTCCAGGATCTCTGGCTGGAGGACACCATCAGGCAGTGTAATCAGGCTCCCGAACTCTAACATGTTGGCAAACTTGTAATGGTTTGCCCAAGGGCAGGCACACTTCATCGCCTTCCAATCATTATCGTTCCATTCGTCGAGATGCCGGTTCATGTACGGGACGAC